CGCTAGGGCCCGGGCATGGCCGCGGCCAGGGCGCTGGGCGGCAGCCTCGGCCCGCCCGCCACCGCACTGCCTCAGCGCGGCGAGCGGCAGACAGGCACACTCGCGGGGAGGAGCCGGCGGCCCCGGGACCGCCGCCGCCGACGCTTGAACCCGCCCATCTGGTTCCTTCCTCTCCCCACCCGCGGGAACCGGCGCCGGCCCGGATCCCTGGGGAGCGTAGTGCCTCCACTCTCCCCACCCCCACCTGGCCTGAGCGCTGACAGCCTCAGCCCCGGGGACACACCTCACTTTCCCCTTCCCCCCACCTCCCCGGAAGGCCTGCCTTCGCGGGGCCTTTGACGTCTCCAGGGAAGGATCGGGATCTGCTGCTGTTCACCCGCTCCTCTCCACCCCTACCCGGGCAGGGCAACCAGCTTGGGGCTCCTCCCAGCTGAGCGGGAAGAGTGGTCCCGCCCAGCTCGGGGAGCCACGGCTGGGGTGGACGTGTTATCGAAGACAGTTAGCACAGTCTGGAGGCCAGTCCTGTCCACACCTCCTCCCCCTCTCCCGGCTGGTCCGGGAAAAAGATAAATTAGCCACAGCAGAAGAAGACAAAAGCTAATGGTGATGGGGCACCACACATCAACAGAAAATCCCAGCTACCACGACTGCAGGTATTTAGGGCAGCCACCTAGAGACCCCATGGACTAGATAAAGTCAAAGCTATCTGTCACCTCATCTAATGAGCAAACATCTCTTGAAACAAAAGGAGCAATAATAGCTAAACTTCTTCATTGATCTGTGGATTGTTATTACTATTATCCACTCCAAATCTATACTCTGAGTAGAATAAAAACTCAGAATGGTAGGCCTCTTGGTCTGTTCTGTAAATGAAAGGAGGAGGGAAAACATGTTCTAGAAATACTTAAAGATAAAATAGCATGATGAATTCAATATCCCACAGCAAAGTGACTAGTGTAAACTTTGTGTTATGGCCTTCTAACTGGAAAGACAACCTCTTGAAAGCAGTCATGTCTGTGTATATATACCACAACTGTGTATATATACCACAACTTGGCAGGTACTTGGTAAACATTTATTGAATAGGAACTGAGAAAATAGGTTAGATATATAAGATTATGTCTTATAAATTGGTGCACTTAAAGTAAGTAGTTTCTTTTTAAATATTTCATGATAAAATGGGAGACTGAATCAAAGCCAATGGTCTATTTCTACGGGAAACAATCAGGTGAACAGAGTACCCATTCTATAGATAAAAAGGTTTGCCTCCCTTCAAGCATGCTGCAGGAGATCCCAGCTGTGGCTCTGTCCCTAATCAGTTTCTGACCTTGGACAGGTCACAAACTGTGACCTACTTTAAACCTAACTTTAAACCTAAACCTCAACTATAAAATAGGACCAGATTTGGGACACCCAGGTGGCTCAGTCAGTTAAGCATCTGACTTCAGCTCAGGTCATGATCTTGCAGTCCATGAGTTCAAGCCCCACATCAGGCTCTGTGCTGACAGCTCAGAGCCTGGAGCCTACTTGGGATTCTGTGTCTCTATCTCTCTCTGCCCCTCCCCCACTCATGCTCTGTATCTCTTTCTCTCAAAAGTAGGACCAGATTTTATTTCTGGGGTCCCTTAAAGCTCTCATTTTCTCTA